GTATATATACATACATGCACACACACAAAAACTCACATATAAATGTAAACAAGCATATATGGGCGCAATAAAGAATTTGCTAACTCATTGGTCATCCGCCGAAATTAATTTTATATGAATGTCTATAGCAGGTAGGGATGAACCGATGAGTTTTATTGACATGTAATTTTGAAGCCGTTATAAAAATGAGAAGAATCAGCCATAAGTTCTGGAGAGGCAGACTTAAAAATCTCTCCATCCCACATTTGTAGGTAAAAAAATGCCACATGCTGTTCAAGCAAGTCTTAAATGCAAATAGGGCTCATACAGAGAGTCAGCAGAGTTTTATCTTCCTTCAGCCTAAACCATAACTCTATAATGGCAAACTTGTGGGATAGCGGTCTACAATTAACAGAGAATAGAGGGCCCAGAGGCACTTGGCGCATGAAGTTGGCAAGATTTATAGAATGTTATGTTCTTGGATATTTACAGCTTATAGAGTGATGTAGACTTTACTTATACAAATAAGACATGTTTACAGAAGTGATTTGAGAAACGAGGCACTCTACCGATCAAATAGTCCACGTGCTTCCAAATACTTGCCCACTATAAATCAGAGTGATACGAATACAATCCAATTTATAATCGGTAGAACTAACCTTAGCTAGGAAAAAATCAGGCTTGTGCGCAACAAAGAGTGGCGAAAAAGTGAGTGGCCCTGGAATTATGCGTTCGTTGAGACCGGCCAAGTTAATCTGTTCCTCAGGAGGCCTCTTCCTAACGTCGGAGAGTGGTCCATCTGAGGCCGCAGTATCAGCTTTAATACTCTCTTCAAGATTGCTGTACCTCAAGGCAGCTTCGTCAGATGCCTCCTCTCCCTCCATCTCCTCATCATCAAAGCAGCCCTCTTTATTATCGTCCACATCTCGTCCACCACAATGGCCTTTTCCGCCGAGCTTATGTAACCCAGGCGGCTTTGAGCCCAAGGAGGAACAAGTGAGGCCGGTAGAAAGCGAATGGCAACGAATTCCGTGAGAAGGATCTGGGGTATGATGCTGTCCTAGCTGCTTCTTCTCAAAAACGGGCAACCGGCGTAGGTGACCACGAATGGTAGATACACAGGCATCCCGGTGCGCCGCAGTGATGACGGAGGAGAGGAAAGCCGACAAACCTGTGTTAGTAACAAAGATTTAGCAAAAAAAGATTGAATAAAGATTAAAAAAGAGAAAAGGCGAAGTTGTTTGTTGCCTTTCAACATTTGTTTTCCGCAACCAAGATCCCCCAGTTTGCATATATATTTTGAAAAACTGATTTTCGAAAAATTCCTTACCCATTCCATGTCACTGGGTTATTCATTTGGAATGAAAAGTTAGATTATATGTATCCGTAAATTGGCCTCAGTAAAGACTAAATAGGGATTCTTCTGGAGTTGTGACTCGTAAATTGTGCAAAGATGTCCTCGGTGCACCATTTAGCGTCTCAGATGCATCCGTGCTGAGCTATCATCTGCTCTATCACGGCAGGCATCCTCAGCGAATGAAATCGTTCTTTAAAGAAATTCGCCTAGCATGAAGTTATGAGCGGTGACAAACTGGAATCAGACCTGTCTATTTTTAAGATCTTAATGAGGCATCCTATGCTACGGTTGGCTGCTCCATAATCTATAACAAACAAGGTAGGATCTCGTGGATAGTACCAATCTGAATTTAACTTAAAGGAAATATGATGGTACATCTAGAAACTACTCAAATACGAAAAATGAATACATCTCATATATATATATATAACATTTGTTACGACATGACATTTCGAAGGGAAAGTTGGTAGGAAGGAACTTGTAATGTGGTCTTACCAGAAACTGAAGGAGGATTGCAGGAGGACTGTTGAATTGTGCGAAAAATTCCTCGACTCACCGTCCTGCGACCCCGATGAAACTGTGCTAAGCTTTCGTCTGTACCGCCGTGACAGACATCATCAGAGCAAGAGTCCATTCTTTACGAAATAGAGCAAAAATATACTGAGCCAAGAGAAAAGGTGGCTGACGGCAAACCTTAGTGGTTTTTAGAAGTTGTTTGACTTTGTTTTCGCAACTTTGTCATATTGGTAGGAATACTTAGAGGGACGCACCTAGTCCGGAATCCAGAGTCGGACCGTGGACGTGGTACATTCCAAGACGTTTCACCGAAATCTTAGTCGTCATCATCAGTGAGCCTTGCCAGTCCTAGCATCAAACACCAATTTGTCAAACGGAGAAGTGAAGCCTATCCTTTGACCAATTATGCGCTAAAAAACTATGGCATCTCTCCTTCTGCTCTGAGCAACCCTCTTCCCATGGGTCATACCAGAGTCTCCCTCTTGCCCCGTAGGATCCGCCTCCTATCTTCCTGGTTCAGGTATTTCATCCCTGCTTCTAGCCATAGTGCCAAGTCTAGGACTGCCTATGCCCTAATCACTTGCACACAAGTTTTGTGGTTCTACTTGTTATGATTAGTTTAGCACACAAGAGACCAAGGTATAGGAAGTCATAGACTTGGCATTATGGACAGAAGCATGATAGATGCGGCGGAGACTGGAGTTAGTTGGCTAACAGTAGGCTCATTTAATCTTAAACGTGGTCCATGAAGCAAAGGTTTGACCATGAGAATTACTCGGGCCTTTAGTCTCAAGTTAATCTCGCATCCAGATTGACAATTTTGACTTTTAGGGGCCTACTAAACGAAGCGGGGTTATGTCTACCATCAAAGGTATGAGACAGTGTGGGAAAAAAAGCTTGGAGTAATACAGAAAGGTTGGCAGAGGTTGAGTGAAATACCTGAACCAGGAAGATAGGAGGCAGATCCTACGGGGCAAGAGGGAAACTATGAAAAGACCAATGGGAAGAGGATTACCCAGGGCAGGAGAGATACCACCATTGTTTAGCCCATAATTGGTCAAAGGATCAGCTTCATTTGTCTCTTTGACGAGTCCTGATGTGGTGCTAAGACTGACAAGACTCACTGACGATGCCGACTAGGATATCGGCGAAATGTCTGTGAATGTACCACGTCCACGGTCCTACTCTGGAAATGATCATGCATACAATAGCCTCCAGACTAGCTGCGTTACTCTAGGTCTTCCTGCCAATATGACCAAGTTGTAAAAACAAGGTCAAACAACTTTATACAACGAAAGGAGGCTGCGACCATACCAAAGGCCATACCATCTTGATGTTCATACCTTAGTGGCTTTTCTTATACACCTAACTTCGAGATCTTAATGAGGCATCCCATGATTTAGTTTGCTACTTCAAACTTCCTATGCATGCTCGAAAATGAGTGAAGCTACTTTCAGAATCGGAAGTGCGTTGTAGAAGCTGGTTCCTTATACAAATAAACTAGCATACGATCCTCATGTTCGAGCTTGTACTATTGTCTATTGTGTGCATGTAATGTTCATGTTATGGGAAGTATGATACTTTTAGCTAGACTTGAGGCTAATCAGGCCTCCTTCTCTTGTTCAGTGGCTCTTCCTGTACTCTCTCTCTCTTTCTTTAAGCCCATTTAACAGCTACAAATAATCTTTATTCAGTTTTGTGCATTCGTTCCTTCTATTCAGGAAGTTAGCTGTTTTATTAATTTAAATAAACTCCCTTATCTTACGCTTTGATTTGAAGTCTCATAAGCCGCTAAACTTTGTATTTTGGACCAGTCTATTGAGTGTCCTGTATTGGCTATGTGTTCAACGAGATCACATTTTTGGATATGGATGGGTCGCGGCAGATCTTCCCCACATAGACCTTACTACATAAGTACAAAACCTTGTAGTAACTTGATCTAAAAAGAGGGTTTGAAAATTCTCTTAACGAAAGAACTACTGATGAAAGTGTTAGTCTATTTCCATACATTTTTAAAATCTCCACTTCCTCAGTAGATCACACAACTTTGTCGCAAGCTGACATGAAGACGAAATCAGAAAACGAGTAGAATGGTCTAATTTTCTATCTCGCCTCAGATAACAAACTCCCCTCATCTGGTTACTGACAAATGATATATAATCGTCTGCTAATCCTAATAGATAATTGTCTTTAAACAATATATGCCTAAATACGCTTGCTAAACATAGACTCCTTATTAGCATAGAATTCAAAACTCCTATATTGACTTCATATGTATGGTTGGAGAAGAAATTAATTAAAAAACCCGTGTGCACGGGTCTCCTATATGCGTTTCTACTTAACTAACTACCTTCCTTGCTCAATAATACATCCAAAAAGGCAATTTATTATCCGTTTCTAACTCCATGGTAAACATAGTATTTGCATCTTTTCTATTTATTAGCTCAAGAAATTCACCCAAATTATCTTTGCAGAGTTGCCAAACAGCAAAGTAATCGTCCACATAACGAACTAATTACTTGGGAACAGGAATGCCTCTTAAAACAGACGAACTTCTAGTTGAGCCATGTAGTTATTAGCTAAAAGAGGGGCTGAACAAGATCCCATAGCCAAGCCTTGAGTCTGCTCATATAACTTACTATTTAAGGTAAAATATGTATTATATATA